AAAACAGGCCTGGGTCTCTAGCTCTTAAAAAGGTTTGCTTTGTTTGGCCTTAAAAATGTAGTTGCTTACAAGAGAACTTTAGTCAGCGTTCCCCTGACCCTAACACTCTGCTATCATGAAACTAAGCAGTTTCCCTTTTGGATATTAAGATGGCACAAAGAACACACACGCTGCACAGCTGCAGCAAGGAACATTCCTTGTCGGGCGTTGCTTCTGCAGGCAAGAGATAGCAAGGAGCCCGCCCTTTGATGCTCAGGCGGAGAGGGAACCTTGGCTATCCAGGCAGAAATGCTCCTTACTAGCTCACTGTACTTCATTATTTCTTAGCACCTGCATAAATAGTAGTATCAAAACTATGCTAGTAATTGTATCTTTTAATAGTGTAGAATGCTGTACTCATGCACTGAATACCATAAGTTTGTAATCTATTAAACGTTAGCCACTTCCTTGGTGCTCTGGTTCAGACTGTTTTCAAGAGGGATTCTGTTGTTTCTATCTGAACCCAGCTGATTGGAATCGTATCTTGCAGACGCCCCCATTGCATGTGGCAAGAGGCTTGCTGCTAAGTGCAATGGAAGTCTAGCTAGCATTTGGATATTACTGCAATAATAATAGACAGACATCCTTCCATGATGACATGCCTTCATATAGAAGGGAGATTCTAGTGCAAAGTCATCCAATCATTTTCCCCCTTCTTTTTCTTCTTTCTGTCCCCTTAGTTCCACCCCCGTCCCCCCCCACACACATTTGTTTTCCTTCTTGTAACACACCCCCATTTCCTAGTAGGACTGTGTGGTAAACCTTTAGTGAAGACAAGAGGAAGCACCAGTTGTCACAACAACCCCTTAAGACAGAATCACAAAGGCAGCACAACGATGGACCAAGAAGACTCCACAATGGTGGTGACCTGCAACAACTGTGCAATAGTTGTTTTCTTACGCGAAGGCAACATTACCTACATGTACATCATGTGCAAGCTAGTAGCCCTGTTAGAAGAAAAGGTGAGAGCACTGGAGCAGCAGGTGTCCACCCTCAAGGTAATAAAAGAAGATGAAGAGTTTTTAGACAGAGCGGTGGAGCTGCAACAGCTAAGTGTCGTCCAGAAGCGAGAAGTGCAACAACATGCTGAGGCAGAAGACAACCCTGAGGGAAGGGAAATGAGGAAGCTCCCAGGAACGGGGTGACAGAGGCAGAAGACCTAGAAGACACTCTGCACTAGCGGAGGCTGTATGAGTACGCAGAACTCTCAAACCACTTTAAGTTACTTGAGGAAGAGACGAGTGAAAAACCCACTGTGAAAGAACTACACGACACACTAAGTAACTCTGAAAAAGAGACAAAAGGTCAATCAAGTAAGGAGAAAGATACCAAAGTTTGCAACAACAAAAGGAAAAGAATGATGGTTGCGGGAGATTCTCTAATACACGAAATGGACAAATAGATATGTTGTCACAACCCAGAGAACTGCCAAGTATGCTGTCTCCTTGGAGCCAAGATTAATACATTCATGCCTCCTATACAACCCACTGACAAATATCCCTTCCTTCTCATCCATGTGGAAACTAACAACACTGTCTGGAGAAGCTCTGACAAAGTCATATCAGACTTTGAAGCTCTAGGGAAGAAAATCAAAAACACTGGAGCCCAGATAGTCTTCCCCCCAATCCTACCAGTATGTGGAAGAGGAACTGAGGGGGAGAAAAATCCTTCAGGTGAATGACTAGCTACAATGGTGATGCCATAAGTGGTGATGTTTTTCATGTTGTGAGCCGCCCCGAGGCTTCGGCAAATGGGGCGGCATATAAATGCTTAAATAAATAAGTAAGTAAGTAAGTAAGTAAGTAAGGAGAGATTTAGACTCTGGGATCACAAGCTAAGGTTCCTGGAAGATGGACTATTGGCAAATGACGGGCTGCACCTCACAAAGAACGGAAAGCATGTGTCTGGGCACTATATGAAAAAGCTCATCAAGAGGGGTTTAAACTGAAACAGGCAGGGAAGGGAGACATGCAGCATGGCATCCCATCGCCTGGCAAAGACTTGCGTATTTCGACAGAGCAAAAACCCTAACATCAGTCTCCCAAAAAGTAGGTGAAAAGCAGGCCGCAACAAGAATTAACTTCAATGTCTATATACCTGGGGTATGGGAAACAAACAACACCAACGTGCTCATAGTACATGAGGGAAATTACGCTCTTACAGGAATAACTGAAACTTGGTGAGATGACTCACATTACTGGAAATAGATGGATACAACCGCTTCGGCAAGGGGCGGCATAGAAATGTTTTAATAAATAATAAATAATAAATAAAAGCATAGAAATGTTTTAATAAATAATAAATATAAATAAATATAAATAAATAAAATACGACCTGCTCAAAAAAATAGGACAAAAGAGAGCTGGGGTCACACTATATGTAAGAGACATATATATCTGCACAGAAATACAAGAACTTAATAGCCCCATCAAAAGCATGTGGCAAAAAGGGAGCAAAAAATTAAAAAAAACATAGTTATTGGCATCTATTACTGATAACTCAGTCAAAAAGAGGGCAAGAACTTGACCTTCAAAAGCCACTTGCCAGTGTTTCAAGAAAAATGATGGCATCATCCTGGGGACTTCAGTTTCCCTGATATATGCAGGGACACAATTTCTGCCAAACATGGTCCCTTCACAAGATTCCTGACATGCATTGTTGACAATTTACACCAATTTACCCCAGCGGAAGGTAGAAGAGGGAACAAGAGGAACAGCTATCCTCTATTTAATTCACAGGGATGACCTAGTGGACAAAAGAGCAGCAGGAAATGAACTGAGACTAGCAAGGGATGCTAAGAACAACAAGAAAGCCTTCTTCAATTGCATCCCAAACAAAAGGCATGTGAAAAGGGAGGTGTCCAGCTCCTTAAAGTGGGTGGCAGAGTGATAACAAATGACAAGGAAAAGGCAGAGGCGCTCAGTTCCTACTTCCCCTCTGTCTTCTCCCACTAGAAAATCTACGACAAAGAATAATTAAAAGCTGAAAGTGAGAGATGGCAGCCCAAGATCGACAGACAAATAGGCAAGAAATGTCTAAATGAAATAAATATATTCAAATCTCCAGGGCCCTTTGAACTCCCTCCCAGAGTCATAAAAGAGCTAGCAGAGTAACTCTCAGAACCACTGTATATAAATCCTGAAAATCAGAAGTGCCAGATTCAATCCCTGGAAAAAATCTGGAGCAAATCATTAAAAATTAGTCTGCAAGCACATCAAAGAAAATGCAGTGCTTAATAAAAGCCAGCATAGAGTTATCAAAAATAAATCCTATCAGACTAATTCAATCTCATTTTTTGACTGGGTAACCTCCCAAAGGGACAGGCGGGACAGCCCACCCCTTGCTAGTCTCAGTTTGTCTCCTGCTTTCGCCTTCCTGACACCATCCCTGCAATTCCTTACTTTTTGTTTATATTCTTCCTTTGTGGCCTGGTACAAGGGCCTGCTTCCACCTCCTGTACGTGTTTTTTCTTTCAGGTTATCACTTAACTTTTTGTAGAGCCACATGGGCTTCCTCTGTTGTCTTCTACACTTCTTTCTTACGGGACCTGCCCGGTCCTGCAAGTGTCTGCAAAGCCAGGTGCTCCTCTGTGGGCAAACGGCTGGGAAGCGATCAAGCAGTACAGCTGAAAGTGCTGGAGACTTACATAAAAGACACTTCCACACGGCCACTCTTTGCCACAGCCATGCAAGCCATCCCCAGGACCCCGTGTGCTGTGGCTCCTAGTACCTCAGTGCCTTGTTCCTGCCTTCCTCTGAGTAGACCCTCCCTCACGCCAACCTGCACCCTTCCTGCTCTTTCTGCCTTCCTCTGAGTAGACCCTGCCTTGCTCCAGCTGCTCCTACCCTTGCCGCAACAAGTCACCCAGTAAACTGCCCTCAGAATCCTGCTCTGACTCTCTGTCTCTCCCTCACTCTGTCTGAACTCTGACTGCTCTCCTCTGTGCTTTCAGCCTGGAACTGTTGACTTCATAGCCTCTGGCCCCTCGGCAAAGCTCCGGACTCTCACTTGAGCTCGCAGCCTGGATCCAGTGTTCTGCCCATTCCTGCTGCCACTTATGACCTGGCCCTCACAGGGACAGAGGGAACACTATGGACATGATCTACCTCAACCTTAGCAAAGCTTTCGACATAGTGCTCCACTACATCCTGATAAGCAAATTAGGAAAAAGTGGACTAGACAGAAAAAGTTTTAGGTGAATTCAAAAGTGGCTGCTAAATCAGACACAAAGAGTGCTTGTCAATGGCACCTTCTCAAACTGAATGGAGGTAACTAGTGGGGTGCCGCAGGGTTCCGTTCTGGGCCCAGCACTCTTCAACGTCTTTATTAATGATTTAGTTGAGGAAGTATAAGGAAAGATAATCAGATCTGCAGAAGATACAAAACTGGGTGGAATAGCAAACACCCTAGAAGACAGAATGAAGATCCAGGGTGATCTTGATATACTTGAATGCTAGGCAACAGAATGAGATTCAGTATGGGCAAGTGCCAAGTCCTCCACCTAGGAAAAAGAAACCAAATGCATCAATACAAGATGGGGAATATGTGGCTTAACAGAACTGAAAACGAAAAAGACCTTGAAGTTATTGTGGACAACAGACTAAATATGAGCCAACAATGCAATGCAGCTGCCAAAAGGGCAAATACTATTTTGGGATGCATTAATAAAAGTATTACTTCCAAATCATGAGAAGTAATAATCTCCTATACTCTTCACTAATCAGACCTCATCTGGAATACTTTGTCTAGTTCTGGGCACTAAAATTTAAGAAAGTTGCAGAAAAATTAGAAAGGATCCAGAGGAAGGCAACAAGAATGATCCAAGGTTTGGAAACACTGTCCTATGAGGAGAGATGGAGAGAACTGGGTATGTTCAGCCTCGAGAAGAAAAGGCTGAGGGGGGGACATGTTATTACTCAATAAGTACCTCAAAGACTGTCACAAAGGGTTGGACCTGATGGCATTCTTGGCTCCTTCCAACTCTACTACTCTATGATTCTGTTATTAGAAACATAGCTGGGATACTGGTGGGCCACTAGCTATAGAGTCTATATATTACCCTGCAGTATCAAAGGCAGAACGTATCCTGATAACAGTTACTGGGGAACATATGTGGGGGAAAAGAGCTGTCATAAGCATTCGTGTTCCATCTGTGCACTTTCCATAGGCATCCAGTTAGCAATTGTGGGAGCCAAGAGAATGCCAGACTAGATAGGTGTTCTTCTGATCCCAATATCGAGACATCTGATCCAGCAAACCTTTCTTACGTCTTTATGTGGGTTACAATGGCATGCAAATCTCTTTCTCCAGTGTGTTCTTTCTCCAATTAGCAACAGATATCCCAGCTCAAAAGGGGATGGAGAGTGAGATGTATGAAGAACACATTACCTTTAATTTATTTGTTACAGGTACATCATCATCCAAATCACAGTCACTGCAGAAATACTGAGTGGAGCTGTACTGACCAAGATGTCTGGACTCTTGTTGCAGAAATCTCTTTGGCAGCAAAGAGATCTAAAACTGTCAGCATCAAAGGCCCGGGCAACATCCTCATGGCTGCACAGCGACGATTTCCAGCAGCCATAGGTTCTCAAATGCACTAAGGGGTAGAAAGATCCCAAGTTAAAAAAATATAGTAAAAACAGTCTATGTTGTTACATGTGGAATTTAAAACTGAAGGATGTATATAAAATGACTAAGTTAAACAAAATCGGTTAGTTTGATCACTTAAGAAAGCATAACTTGGAACACTGTTTAGGACAAGATTTTTGAGTGCTTCCAGAATAGTGGCACAATGCCTTTTGATTATTAGCACTGAGCAACTCCCCAGCTGGAAGCACCCTTTAAAATCCTGATCAAATATCTGCCCTATCTCATACAGATGCAAAGAATATTCTGAATGGACACTGGATTACATCCTGAGTTGTTCATTCATGAAAGGAAGGGTTCTGTCTGTCTGGCTGTAGAAAGGAGTACAATCCAGAGCAACAACCCTGCTGGATCCAGGTTTCCCTCCCCAAGCAATACTTCCCATGCAGTTCTGGACTATCCCTTAACTCTCTGCAACACTTTTTGCAGGAAGGAGGAATATCCCCACATTCCCTCTAGCAGAAGAGCTTGCGAGCAGAGTTCCCTTCCTGTGAATGCTGGATCTGAGCCAGAGGTCCAAGGAGAGAATTTGTGTCTGCTGCATCTCCCTCAGTTTCAGATCAGAAGCACGGAAATTAGCATCTGGACTGAGAGTGCCCAGGGAGCAAAAGCCCCCTACCTTCTACAGCAGGGTTCCAACATAAGTCAGGGCCTCCATACTTGCAATTTGTTTTTAAAAGCCATTCATGTAATTCCCCAAAGACATGCTGGATACAGTATGTCTTTCCACATTTAGAGGTATACCATATATTTACTATATTTGTCTTGATTTTCTGTATAGTCATAAACATGGTGTGCTTGGAACTGGGTCTCTCCATCTCTGTTTTTCTGATAACATCAACTCTGTGTGCTGCCTTTGGGCCATGCACTTATATTTGCAGGGTCTTTGTCTCTGTCCATCAATCTTCATAAAATGAGGCCTCTGGAAAATTTGGGAAAGGGATCTCTACTTCACCTATAGCCAGCAGTACAATTTTATTCTTCTTGATTTTCCATGGCTTTTTTGAACATGTACGCATGTACATGCAAGTAGAACAAATCTGCCATTTTTCATTATTATGATAATAAAAATAATGGGTTATAGACTGATGCATAGGATTTCTTGCCAAAGCAGGGAAGACAGAGTTGATGGGATTACTTCGTATTATTTTGGGGGAAAGGGAAAGTGCAAGGGCTTGTCTTTCCATTCCCACTGACCAACACGGCTATGAAGCCACTGAGTAGGGCTATGTAGAGACATGGTGCCATTAACCAATCAACGTCACAGCTGGGTGGATGGGTGGGGAGATAGAAAGCACTGAGGACTGCAACCCCATACTCACTTACCTAGAAGCAAGCCCCACTGAACTCATATACTTAAGTTCTAAGTGGACAAATGGAGAACGGGCATCAAAATGCAGTTCAGTGTAAGGAAGTGTAACATAATGTACGTTGGGGCAAAAAAATCCCAACTGCAAGTGTACACCGTTGGGATCGGAGCCAGCAGTGACTAAGCGAGAAAGGGATCTTGGGGTACTAGTGGACAGCTCAAGAAAAATGTTGTGCCCAGTGCAAAGCTGCTATGAAAAAAGCAAATTCCATGCTAGGAATAGTTAGGAATGGAATAGAAAATAGAACTGCTAAGATCTTACATCCCTTACATAAATCATTGACCGCACTTGGAATAATGTGATCAGTTCTGGTTGCCTCGTCTGAATAAAGAGATTACTGAATGGGGAGAAGAGTAATGAAGATGATCAAGAGGCTGGAACATCTCCCCTGTGAGGAGAGGCTGCAGCAGCTGGGTTTGTCTAGCTTGGGAAAAAAGGTAATTGAGGTGGAGACATGCCAGAGGTGTTTAAAATTACGCATGGAGTGGAGGAAATGGAAAGGGAGACATTTCTCCTCCTCTTCTGTAACACTCAAACCTGGAGACACCCCATGAAGCTGATTAGGGGAAGGTCTAATCAGATAAGAGGAAGTACTTCTTCACATAACATATAGTTGAATTATGGAATTTGCTGCCACAGGAAATAGAGCTGGCCACAAATCTGGATGGCTTTAAAAGGGGGCTGGATAGATTCATGGAAGAAAAGGCGACCAGTGGATACTACGCTTACTAGCTAAATGCTGCCTCCTTTCCAGAAGTGGGATGCCTGCATACACCAGTTGCTGAGAAGCTTGAGCAGGTAGAGGTCTTGCACCCATCCTGCTTGGGTGATCCTGTGGACAGCTGGTTTACTGCTGCCCGTGAAGAATGCTGGACTTGATGGACTCTCTGGTCTGATCCAGCATGGCTTTTCTTATGTTATCAAGTATAAGGTTACACTACATGACACATCCATGGAAACAAGCTGAATGAGAGTCATTTGATCTTCTGTACTTACCAAACCGAATTTGCAAGCAAACATCTTCCTCTTCGCTACAGGTAATGTTGCTCCTACACAGGAAGGGACTTTGTTCACATTTGTAACATCTCAGTGCATGGCCTAAGACACAAATGGAGATTTTGTTAAACAATCTAACATTTATATGATGGATATCCCACTATTTCATTAGCATCACCTCAGCAACTCTCATCGCCCTATCAGGTAAGCCAGTGCTATCATTGTATATAGGAGCAGGCCGATGGAAGAGCTGTTTTTGGAAAGCTACCAGGGTGCAATCCCAGGGCTCCCTCCTCCCACCCCTCACAGATGGCGGGAAAGGGACTGTGCCTCAGAGAGGAGGAAAATGGGTGTACTGGGTGGCTGGGAGGGGAACAGGCTGGGGGCAGCAGCTTATGAAAGTTCCTATCCACACCCCTTGCGCTATGTGCTGGATGCAACTAAGCCTCCCCATTTGGGGGCTGAGGAACACTGAAGGTGGGAATAGGAATGTGCTCATAATAGGTGCATAGCTAATGTGAAATTTGAGCTGGGGAATTCACAGCATATCTTTAGAGCTGTTGTGCTAGGCAAGCTCTCCCAAAACCCAGTTATAACACTCTGAGAAGAGACGAACTTATCATGGCATTGAAAGTGATCTCATGGCTTCATTTTGTGAAGCTATGTGATAAAAGCATTTTGTGCCTATTTATCATCTCCTGGGGAAAAATGCCAACTATTGCGACTTTTGATTATTTAGTTATTTAAAAGCTTTTCTATCCCATCCACTACAAATGTCTCGGGATGGCTTACAGGTACTTATCTAAAATTCTTAAAAATCAGCTTGTTTAATTGGCCAATGAGACTTTTGTTAAAGGCTCAAGGAATTAAGTTCAGATCAAGTCATCAAATCAAGAAATTTAGTTCTCTATTTCAGCATCCCCAAAACTGATACTTTCCCAGCATTTCAGACTATAACTCCCATCATCCAGAAGCCAGTCCAGAAGACTCAATGAAGAATGTGATGAGAGGAAGAGCTATGTACTAGGCAAAAATGAATTATGGTGCTCTATACCTACAGTTCAAGCCTAAGAAACCTGTAAGCTCAGATGCATCTGATTCTGCATCTGGCTAAACAGAAAGTTTATCTACAGTACTTCAATGCAGTGAAAAACTCTGACTTCATCCACAACGATCCAGTGTGTTTTTTCTCTCCAAGATTGTGAGCCCTTGTCCCAGGCTGTTACGTACACAACTACATCAAACTCAACCTACCTTCCCTGTATGGTTCTGGGACAAAATAAAGCTCTTTTTTGTTACGGCCTAAGAACACTTGTGCACCTCTGTTAAACATCTGGCGGGCTGCCATACATGGAGGGATACCTTTGTGTGATAGGCTGCATACTCTTTCGGCACTGCTCAGCCACTCCTCTGCTATTTTCTAAGTCTGTCTGCATAACTCTACCTTACAGGCCACCTTGTTTTTATACTAAATGGAAACACCAGACACAGAATATTTTATAGGTTTCCTTCCAAAATGCATGCCTTCAAGCTGCAGCCTGAAACATTCACTGATCAGTGCAATGGGTGCAAAGATACCTACCAGAACCGCAGGATATAGCTATGATAATGAAGACCGTAAGCAGTAGGCAGTTCATTTTGTCCATGGTCCCGCCTTAGTCTAGAAACAGAAACATACGAGATCAGGGCCAGAATCTCTAGGGGAGGAGTGCCCTTATGCTCGGGTGCAGAAGCATTAAACTCAGTTCCAGAGAAACTTTTGAGGGCTGCATTCTACTGGTTGAATGTGTTGAGACCAAAAAACCCACCATATTGTAACTTGGAGCCCTAGGAGAAGGATTCCAACATTTTAGAATGGGGAAAAACTTGTGCAAAAGCTGGAAAACTACCAAGTGATCAGCATATGGGAAGCAGTGGCGGTCGGAAAGAAAGCATGGGCCTTTTAGAGAATCCTGGACAGCCATATTGTGATGCCAGCAAAGCCAGATTTGGACTCCAGACCTAAAGTTCTCCACTCCAGCCTTATGCATTGCTTGTCCCAATCCAAAACATTAATCTGATGTTGCTCTTTGCCTAGAAGGCAGTCTGCAAAGGGTGGCAACTATTTACTGAAATTAGTACAATAAAAATCTTTTAGGAAGCAACACCATCCTATATAGACAAAAACCAGAAATGAAAAATCAATGAGAAATGTAGGAGTTTTGTGTAGTTGTCATTGGGCATTGTTCTTTATAACTTGGGTCTTTCAGATATATTTTGGGTTGTGGAGGCCTTTAGACATTTAAATGTGTCAGTGTGGCTACATGTAGGTCCATGGAGCAGAAGGCTTCTATACGTCATCAAGCAGTACATTTGCTCTGGGGGACAATTTGCTGCAACCTGAGAGGTTGCTTTGTATGCAAGATTTTTTGCTGAAAGCAGAACCCCCACCTGTCACCTGAAATATCAATAGGGCCAAATTGCAGGGCTATTGTAATCTACTCTCTTTCACACACCAGAACCTTCTCTACATACAGCAGGAAAATATGAGCACTGGAATATATTGCAGCAAATTTTATTGCAAACCATAAACTCAGCCTACCTTCCAACTTTCAATATTTAGAGTTTTATCTGTCAAAGACACTAAGAATAGATTTGCCAGTGGTTTGCTGAAAAGAAAGAATAATTCTTCCATTGTTCTGAAGAAACTTCTAGCATTAAGAAAAATTTGGCATGCCTTGAAGATCTGCAG